ATGATCACTATAAATTCATAGAATGGATTGATAATCCAGTAGAAGATACCCAAGCACCAGATCCACTTATATGTTCTAATTTGAATTCAATTTTAACTGGAGCAGCTAACACATGGTATAATCAGAGGAAGAAAGAAACTCATGGAGTCAAAGATTGGAATTTCTGGAAGAAAGAAATTATAGCTAAATACAGCACACCTGAATGGAAAAGAAAGGTTAGAGAAAATTTCAGAAAGAACAGATTTGACATCAAAGGAGATATTGAACCATCTGAATGGGTTACTACTCAAGTCAATAGATTGAGAGCAATTGAAAGAAATATTGATAATGCTGCTATAAATGATAAATTATTGGCCCAATTGGACGACAAAACTGCTTACAAAATGAGAATTGCCTTAAATAATGATGATGACTTGACCCAATTTATCAATGAACTAGAAAGTATAGCTAACATTAAAAGAAAGAAATACAAAAGAGATAATAAAAGTTCTACTAAAGATTACTCCAAAGATTTCAAGAAAATTAATAAAGACTACACCAGTAGAGACAAAGATAAAGAGAAAGAAAAAGAAGTCACCTGTTATGAATGCGGCAAAAAAGGACATAAATCTACTAAATGCCCTAAACTCAGTAAGAATAAAAAAGATGTCATGATGGTTAAACCCCATGAAGATAACCAACAACCCTTTTCAGACTCTGAAGATAATGATACCAAATCTGAGAGCAGTGATTCTGAATCATCTTCTGAAGAAAATAGTGATAGTACCATAGATGCCATTATTAATGAAGAAAAAATCATTTCTAATATAGAATTACTACCTGAAAAGAGTTTACCTCATAAAATTATCAAATTACCCGTGAAGAAGTCTAGTAATAAAGGAGAAATTCATAAGACTGGAGGTACTAACATCACAAATATTATCTGTAATAAATACAAGATTAAATGTCTGATTGATGGAGGAGCCTTCTGTTCTATAATTAGTCCTAAATTATTAGATAAAATACTGCCTGATTGGAAAACAAAATTGATCCCCATCAAACCTGAGAAATTCTACAGTTGTAACAGTAAATTGAACCCTATGGGAATTATAACTCTAGATATTATATTTCCTCATGCTAAAAATAACATACAAATCACGGTAGAATTAATTGTAATGGAAGACTTTAGAATGAAATACATCATTTTAGGAAATGATTACATAATTAATTACGGGATAGATGTTATAAATAGCAATGGCAGATATTTTACTATCAATGGAGACTTATCTACTAAATTTGAACTTGGTATCACTGATAAAATGAATTTAGTACAACTAGAATGTAATGCTTTAGAAGATAATAATTTTGGAAATACTATTGAAGAAGCAAAAATTTCTAGTACTTTAACAGAAGAAGAAAAGTCACAGTTATATTCTTTACTACATAAAAAGAAATTAGCCTTTGCTACTACTGATGAACCCTTTGGACGTATAAAAGGACATGAAGTCAGAATTAATCTTAATACTTCTAGACCTTACCCTCCAGCATTAAGAAAAGCTGCATACCCAGCATCCCCAAGAAGCAGAGAAGCCTTACAACAACATGTAACTGACTTAGTAAAAATGAATGTACTTAGAAAAGTTGGTGCCAATGAAAATGTTGAAGTAACTACTCCTGTAATTATTGCGTGGCATAATGGTAAATCTAGAATGGTTGGAGATTTCAGAGCTCTCAACAATTACACAATTGCTGATAGATATCCAATGCCTAAAATAAGTGAAGCCATCACGCAACTACAAAATGCTAAATATATTACGTGTATGGATGTACTTAAAGGATTTCATCAAAATGTTATTCATGAAGATAGTAGACACTTAATGAGAATTATTCTACATATGGGTATTTATGAATATTTGAGAATGCCCTTTGGAATTAAAAATGCACCCTCTCACTTCCAAAGAATGATGGATACTGAATTTCATAAAGAATTACGTGAAGGATGGCTAATAATTTATATTGATGACATTATTATTTTTAGCACTGAATGGAATGACCACCTTGACAAATTAAAAATTGTTCTAGAAAGAGTTATAAAAATGAATATGAAGATCTCTATGAACAAATGTCAATTTGGTTTTCAAGAACTTAAAGCATTAGGCCACATAGTTTCAGGATTGAGCATAGCTATAGATAAAAATAAAGTAGCTGCAGTAATGTTAAAACCTATGCCCACTAATGTTAAAGAAATACAGTCATTCCTTGGTTTTGCTAGTTATTATAGACAACACATTAAAGATTTTGCCAAAGTAACAGGTTGTCTATATAAATTAAGTAGCCCAAACACTGCTTTTGAGATGACAGTAGATAGAGTAGCTGCATTTAATAAATTACGTGAATTACTTACTTCTGCTCCTATATTATTTATGCCTAATCCTAATAAGCCTTATAAATTATATGTAGATGCTAGTATGGAAGGATTAGGAGCTGCCTTACACCAAATTCAAGATCAAGAAATACCAAAAGAAGGAGTCATTTGTTATATTTCTAGAACATTGAAAGACAGTGAGAAAAAATATGGGGCCAGCCAACTTGAATGTTTATGTTTAGTCTGGGCCCTAGATAAATTATATTATTACCTTGAT